TTGATTACTTTTTGATAAATAATTCGTTCTTATTGCGAAATAGGAGCACTATTTATGAATCTGTAATAAAAGACGTGAGGAAATTCTGTCTTTTTAAAAGACAAAAATTTGGTGAAACAGGTCGGGTGATCTAGATGGTCAAGCCATTTACCACATGAAGATTCAACAATTTTACATTAGACTGGATCGTCCAGGCCCAGGCAAAGCAAATGAGCCTCTCAGATCTCGAATTCCACCCTCAAAAAACAAAATAATTTACTCCATTAAATGTTATTAATCCCCGTCAGTGAGTAAATCTATCTCTTTGCTGCTGAGCTTTGAAATCAGACCAAAGTTGAACCTTTTTGCATATAACATTAGTCAGCCGCTTCAATCAATCACTCTAGACAAATATTGGCTGATTCTCAATTTCTATTGGATGAGGGCGTGCTGATGCTGACGTCATTGAACATCAATAAGAGCCCAGGCTTAAGTTATGTGGAAGCGGCCGCGATTCCGGTGTTAATACTTTTGGAGGCAAAATAGCTCTTAAAGCATCTCCGCTTAGAGCTGAAGCGGCCATTCCTGACTCATTCGGATTGGTTTAGCGCGTCGGTGGGGGTGCTGAAGAGTATGCATAATTAACTGGAACTTTCAGTCGAGTGGATCCCGATCAATTATTGGGGCGAGATTTTCGACGATTTTTCGGCAATTAGCTGAACAATGTTCCAATCGTATGACGGGCCGTTTCAGCATTGCGATACAACAAGTGGTAGTGCAGTGACACCGTTTTCGGTTAAAGACATTCTGAACATGAACATGCAACAGGAGGGCGAACTTTACCCGAAAAAGGAGAACTTTGGGCCCGGCCAACAACAGTTCTGGGACGGACATTTCTACAGCCTTAGTGAGCCGAATGCTAACTGTTATTACAACAGCGACGACACCGTCAACTCATACAACAAGAGTTGGACTGATGGGTCTTATACCGATGTTAAAGCCCACTTCGACTCCATTCAGCCCATCAATTCAATATACAGTGCCAACATGTACCATGATGGTAATCAGACTGATTCGACGTATGCGAAAATCGACAGTCCTAGTAAGTATTTTTGCTTATTTGAGCGCTTGTTGCTTCTTCCCCAATCGCTTGATCGGCAGTCTCATAATGTGTCTTGATTCATACATCAATCTGGCAGTTTTTAGTTTATCAATTTAGCATTTAGTGGCTGCAAACGGACAGTTGAAGTGCAGCGCTTGCATAGAGAGATCAATCATTAATACACACTGTCAGGCAGAATCAGTTGTTTTTGCTGAGGAAACATGCCAAACTTTTGAAAGAGTGCTTCTTCTATTGAGCCACTCACTGGGTCTTAGATCAGGCAATAAAACCACCTGGAAAAGTTTGGTCGCTCGAGAATATTCCCAGTCTAATCGCGCTTATTTTCGGTAAATTTGAAGAAAATTGCGCCAGAAAATCAGCTGCCAAAGTTCTGATAGGAAAAAAAGAATAAAGTTTCTTTTTTCGAACAACCTTCGGTTGTGAGCAAGGGGGG